GCTACGATATAATTTAACCTAATTTCTCCATCCACTTTTCTCTTCTTCAATTTCTATTTTCTATCTTTCCCTCCGCTTTCTTCTTTCACTTCTCTCGGTGGCATACAAATTCTGTTTTTCCCCAACATTCCCTTCCAGTTTCTCCTCTTCACGATGTCCGGTGACAAACGGTCGCCTTTCCACGGCAGCCGGAAGAAAAGCCGGTTCAAAGAGCAGGGAAAACGAACGTTGGGAAAAAAAGCGGCGGACATTCCGCAGGGAGAAATATTTTCTAGCGTTCGTAACTCATCGAATCTTCCGCGTCACAGAACTCTCACTGCAAGGAAAATCCACTAACGGCGAATTGACTTTTAATTTATTTAAGCATTTATCACTTATCGCTCGCTTTTATTTCGTTTATTTCTCCAGTTCCAAAAGACCAATAATTTCGAGCGCTATTTAAAGAAAATGAGAATTTGATATTTATAATTTATATAAATACTATTAAAGTAACTATATAATATAAATATTTTAAATAGCATTTAATTGTGATGATTTTTTCTTTTATTTTTGTTTAATCGCAAAAATTATTAATAATAAATTAATAGTTATTTATGTCTCTATTTCCTTTAAATTATTGTTTTTTACAAATTAGAGTTTAAATTTATAATATTTATTGAATAATTTATGATTTATTTTCATATCTATACAATTTTAATAAGTTAAAACAGAAAATTAGTTTGAAATTAATGATTGAAAAGATCACAATTTTGAAGAACTTAATTAATTCAGCTTCGAAGATATTAATTGAACCACTTTAGTGCCCAATTATCGAGATCTTATCCTTTTTACAAATTTTAATGTTCTAAATTTTGAATCGATATTTATATTTATTAATTTTGAAATGTATAAATATATTTTAAATATAAATATATGCATTATATTTAATTTTTAAATATACATATATATTTTAAATAATTTGTAATATATATCTCTTGTTATTTTATTATTCGTTGAATCGTTGCATATCTATTTTTATTTTGCATCTTTCAACTCTTGTATTATATTGAAACGTAACACTTTGCTACGCTTTTCGCGTCGGTTTAATAAGATTCATAATTGTCCGCCATGGTAGATTAAAGTCTATAGAGAGATGGAATCGGCTAGGTGGATAAGGGCTAGATAAGAGCGGCTGAAAAAGGGATAAGGGTGCGGGGAAGAAGGGGCGGGAATGGGGTATAAAAGATGGGGTCCCGATAATCGAACGGTGAACGGGATCAATTAAATCCGGGGTAGACATTAATTATCGAAAGTGTCGTCGACAGTTTCCGATCGCGTGTGCAATCCAAGTACGATATTCGGAACGAGTTCAGGATTTTGCTCGCGGCGCATCCTTCCTCACTAACATGTCCCTTCATCACCTCGTCCTTATTCCTTGATTGGCCCTTCGGCCTCGTTCGAACTAAGACAGCTTGTTATATATTGATCTCTATTTCCACTGCGAATAAATTTCGTATAATTTGTTTCAGACGAATGCGATAGAAATGAAGTCATTTCTTATCTCAAAATTAAAAAATCGTTTTCACGTTTTAGCGAATAAAAATCTTTTGCAATCCTTTCGTCCATGATCTTTTCGTATTCTGTATCGTCTTAAAATCAATCGATCTGGGTTTATTTGTCGCGCAGATAAATTGCGAATATAATTTACGATGGAAGTAAATACGGAGGATATGCAAATGTCAATGGCGCAAATCGAATTATTGATAATTCACAGTGAATTTCCACGCCAGTGATCAGTAAATATAGTTTGCTGCGACTGAGCGTGACCTAATAGGATCGCGTCGAAAGTCGATACTCGTGATGAGATCTCGCGTCTTAATCGGATTTTGCTGCAGATTTTCTGCGATTTAACGAAATATCTCGTGCTATTTTTGTCGCCAATCGTCGTTATTTTTTGAGGTGAATGACATTTTCGTACACACACACACATATATATATGTATGTAAGAGTTGCAAAATTTGATAGTGAATTAATTTGATTTGAATAATAAATGTTATATAGTAACAAGTTACAATTTACACGATAAAAATGTTTTAATGTAAATTTAAATTTTTTGTGACATCGAGAAGTATTTAGAAAATCTAAATATGTGAAAGCTGTGTTCTCTCTCTCTCTCTTTCTTTTAATTCTTTTTCATAAAATAAATTATGAAAAATTTACAAAAATGTATTTTCTGATAAATTTGGAGGGTTGACCGCTTTGCAAAAATCGCATTCGGTATGTGTAATTAAATTTGCGAGAAGAGAAGAGAATCTTATCTTTAATTGATTTCAGGTAGAGTCTGTTATTTAAAATCTATTATGCATAGCCATCAAAATATTTACACCTGAAAATTTTGATACTGCAAAAACAATGCTGAAGGAAATTTATCTTTAAATTTGTCAAATAATATGCAAAATGTTTGCTTTCCACCTTTCATTGTATGTTTGAAAGTGTTTAAAATTTATTGCGGCATATATGTAAAAACTATTACTGTTTAATATATGCTGCAAAAACGTTCCTTTGTGTGTAAACATGCAGAAAAATGAAATGCACAGTGCGAATGTTATGTATTGTGTACACGCTGGAAATGTCTCGTTGCATTATTTTATATCGCGCTAAACTTTTTTTCCCCTGCCCGCGTGTCGTTGTTGCGAATTAACGTCAGGTTCATTTTTAACGATGAGCCTGACGTTTTCGAGCGGCTTAAATGTGGTGTCAGGCAGTCACGCTGTTTGAATGATCGGTGATCCAACTAAGCCTCGTTTAAATTTTAAGTGAAAAAGGCCAGACGGAACGGGCATCGATCGTTCGTGGCAGCTTACGAGCCCGCGCCTCTGTTTTTATCATGTTCGATATATACAGAATATATAGAACATCTCGAGTGTCATTTTCTTTCGAGTTAAAATAGAAAAAGAAAAAAATGCCACTTGTTTCATTTGATTGATAAAACGATATCCTTTGTATTAAAATTGAACAAAATTGATAAAAAGTTTATTTGTAAAATGGTCATTTTCAATGATTCAATATTGTCAAGAGTTTATGGAAAAATTCAAAATGTGCATTTTAACATTGCAGTTATTATTTCTTTTCTTCAATTTAAGGCAAATTTCTTGTTCACTCTTCTGTATCTGTACAACTAACATCAAGTCGATGCTGTAAACTTCAATGCATCTACGTTTCGTTAATATTAATTATAAGGCAATGCAGATGGTACTAAGTTCTTCACAATAGAAACAAACTTGCAAGCTGAGCATCACCAAGTAAATATTAATCAAGCAAATTTGACTCAATGTTCGATCATATTTTAGAACTTTTATTTTATTTAATTACAAAGTGCTTCTATGGCGAAATTTAATCATGCAACTTTTAACAGTGTAGCATATTAAAATATTAATTTGATATTTTATTATATAATGATTATTAATTTATTTTTACAAGGAAAATTCAATCTTTCAACCAGAAGAAATTTCCCTTCAATTTCACGTTACCACTATTAGCTGTTTTCTTTTTCTGTCGTCAAGTATTCAGATATCGGTTCCTTGAAGTTTCCTTTCGATGAGCATAAGACGGAGAAGTTGAAGGACTCGCGAAGGGAACGGAACATGTCAGGAAGCTCTATTTCCGGTTGAAGGGGCCGGTGGTATCGGGCCCGATGTGAGAGCGCGAAATGGCCGACTTAAGGAAGTTTTACTGCGAGACAAACCGGAAGTGATTCGGCTATCCCGAGGGAAACTTTCTTTCCTTCCTGCGGGCTTTTTCGTCGGATTACGGCCGCCCGACGAACATCCATTCTCGTTTAACGCTTTTATTTACCGTTTGCGGCTGTCTCCCCAGCTTCCTCCCCCGCTTATCGGAACTTTCTCCAGTCGTGCTTTTTGCTATTGCTTTATCTTTTCACTGTCGCGGCGAAGCGCTAGCGATAATGGCCAATGAATATCTATTGTGTCGATGTGTATTTGAATCGTTTCGAACTCGAGCGATAACGAAAGATTCGACGGTCTCGTAAATTATATTTTCTTACGGTTTCTCTGTCGCAGAGTTTTAAATTATTTCGGCACGCGCTGTATTTTTTACACACGCCTCGAAACGCGTCTCGATGCGGCGGGCAGCCATCAGCAGTGGCATGAAAAAGACCCGAGGTGACCGTTAGGCACGTCGAATGATGCCGGAGGCAGGCATTTTTTTCCAGTCCAAGTGTGCCATTTTTTGCGTCCGTTCTGTCCTCTATTGCATAGGGTGTTCTTTCTATCACTCTTTGTTTTTCTTTTTTTTTTTTTTCGGCTCGCCAGTGTCCCTCGGAAAAATCTATAAATCTAGCGCGCGGGCTCGCGAACGTCAGGACCATTCGTCAGCGGGCAGATTGGTGGGAGGGAATGGATTCGCGGGAGGGTCGGAGACCGGAGGGGAGGGGGGGGTTGGAGTACGCGGCCGAACCCGTGTCAGGTGAACGCTGCAGCTTCGTCCCACATGCAATAAAGCCGCGACGATTTTACGAGCGAGGCGAGCCGGATGACGAGGTAATTTACCTACCCGCTGGGAGAGGGATGAAGAGACGACGGGAATGAATCCATGCCTCTGACTCGCTACAAGGCGCTCCGATCGTTCGCCGATAAAGGTCGCCGCTTTTTATCCGACGCCCCGAGAACGATGCCGCGTGATTTTCGTGCCCCCGCGGAATCTTCAATCTTCATTCTGAAAACCTCTATCGATCCGACACGGGAATCACCGTTTAATGCACCCGCGACACGATTCGGCTAATAATTTCTTTTAGAATTCGACAAAACAAATGATTAAAAACTCAGTTGTTTTCAAATATCCGTTTTGAGAGATAAAAAATATCGGAAAAGTGAGATTGATAAGCGGATGTTTAAATATACACGAGTTGCGACTGCTGCAAACTCGTACAGCCCAATGCATATGCATATTCAATAATTCCGCAAGGAGTCCGGGTGACTCAAGCTCAAATCGAATGATTTCAGACTGGTCTCCTCCCCGACACGACAGAACGAAGCAGCGAGCAGCAGCAGCGGTTCGATTCAACACGGGGCGACGTTCGCGGTTCGGGTCGGCACGATCGACGGCGTAGTCACACATCATTTACGAGCTGAAACACGAAGGGATCTGGCGGCCTGGGCGCGAGCGATCGTTCAGGGATGTCACGCGGCCGCTCACTCCTTGCGGGAATACACCGTTCGTAAGTAATCTTCTATTTTCTTCAAGATTTTATTTCATAATTTTCCGCTTAATTCCCGTGAAGTGGATTGTCACTGTTCGCGAACTTTGGAAAAGTACAATTGACAAACGGACAATTCAAACTGCGCGTTTGAGGAGGCGAAGCGCATAATAGCGAAATAGTTCGGGAAGTAAATAGGAAGTTTTTTTTTTTTTCTATGAAGTCATACAGCAGCAGACGATAGTCAACGTCCATGTCATTCTCCGCGCTCGGTTCGGTGAATTTTAATTTCTTTTCTGTGACGACGAATGACAATAATAAATCGAGATGAATACTTCGCTCGTTTCACACGCGAACTTCTTTTTTATTTCGCGTCTCGCTCGTCGATGATGAAGAACTATGGATACCGATGCGGCAGAAATGCGCGACAGAGAAAGAAAAATCCATACTGCCACTTTCGTGAAAAATAGTACGTTCCAAGAAATTCAATTGAAAGGGGAATGCAATTGTGTAACTGTGATTATTATAATTAAAAAAAAAAGTTTTCCAACCTTTATTGATTTGTATTCGTTCTCGAACTAACTAGATTTATGCAGTCGTAAATTTTACGATTGCGCAGCGAGAGAATCGATCGGCATCGCGGAAAAGGCAACAATAAAATTTCATTCACTTTGCATTCTTTTTTTCTAATTTTATACTTTTACTGTGTCGTAGGTTGCGTATGGCAAGGCAAAGCCTGTCAGTTGGTCGTCAATCATGAAGAAGGATTTGCGCTTTACGCTGCCGGCACGCGGGGAACTGCCGGGAACGGTGTGAGTCCTGGGTCACCGCCCACGCCGCTCTGGAGAAGATCCTTCGACAAATTGAAAATGTCCGCAGACGACGGCGCGCGTCTTCTGTGGCTCGATTTTGGAGGCGAAGACGGCGAAATTGTGAGTACTTAATAGACAATGAGAAAACGCAGGAATCGAACAGATCAAAAGAATGTCTCGAGAAAGTGTAAATTTACTGGAATTAGCTTGTGAATTACGAAACATTTTTGCTGCAATCATAAACTATTTTTTTAAATTCTATTGCGTTCAACAAAATCATTGAAAACTGCGTGTGTTCTACGTGTATTATCAATTTTTTTCATCAGTGAGCGAAAAACGAAAGCGGCTGATTCTAGTTTTTGCAAAATTGTTTTTCTATTTTTGCGACTCGTGGACACTGAAGTTCAAAAGCTTATTGTACCATTAGTTTTTTCATGTGTCAGCGTGTAAGAGATATCGATCGATCCTGTTACAGGAGCTCGATCTGGAGAGCTGTCCGAAACCGATTGTGTTTGTTCTACACAATTTTCTTTCGGCGAAGATTCACCGGCTCGGTCTGAGCGCATAGGGGCACGAGGGGGCCCTCACGGAGGCCCCCGATCTACCCCCGCACACCACCAGGTCCGTTACCAGCGTCTTTCTTCACTGAACCAGAAAGAATCACGGCGCGAAAGAGAAACGGGGTCTTCTCTCTCCGAGAATTCGACAGTAACGAGACTTGATGAGGCATGAAACATTCTAATGGATAAGAGACTGCAAGGATAGTCCTTGTCAAAGGTTCCACGTCGCGTGCAGCGTTCCGTTCCGGAGCTTTGAAATGTATAGAAAAAGAATGGTTTGAAATGAAGAGGAGTAATGAGCGGGACGATGGAGAAGAGAGAGTTTGAGAATAACTAAAGGTAGGATGAATAATTTAAGGATAACGGCCCGAGGATATTTTATAATTGGAAGATTTTATGAATTAATCTACCAATTTTGAACGTTTTCTAAATATTATATTGTCCTTTCCTCTTTTTAATATTCCAAAATATGAAAGTGTAAAATTGCAAGAATGGATTATTACATTCGAACAGCACTAATTATCGATATTTTAATATTTATGAATTTAAAGATTTTTTAAGGATAGTTTTAAAAATCTTACAAATGGAGATTTTGAAATTTTTAATTTCATTTTTGGCACTCCACGTATCGAGGATTCTCTAGGATTCAAATACCTACAATTCACAAAAACATCGATAATCAAAGAAATTTAAGATCCTAAAAATTCTAACGGCCTAGTTCTACTTTGCCAATATCCATACATCCTAAAATTCTCGGACTCGGTCCAAAGATCCGAGTATCTCGTCGGATAGATGTGAACAAGGTGAAAATAAGACTGTATAAGTTTGATAATCAGTGTAGAATCTTGAAGAGAAACTCGATTGCGATAAATCGACTCGAAACGGTTGTTAAAAATTGGACGGCAATCCACTTTGTTCTTCTTCAACCATAATCGATACGAAGCCATCCACGAGACGATATATCGAAGAAAGTACGACATGTGACAAGAACGGGGTGGCGGAGAGGTGAAAAGGAACACCCACGCCGCTAATCAACGCGCCTAAGTAACTAATTAATTAACTACTTACCTAACCTTAAGTAAGACTAATCGCAAAGAACTGACTCGGCAGATTATCGATAAATATTCACTGATTCAGAGTGTCGAATGTCGAATTGCGATTAATGTAACGAGCATGGAAATCAGATGGGTGCGATTGTTTAAACGATAACTTTTTAATTTTTAATAACCATGGCACATTGATGTATTTTGGCTTTTAAATATAATTGGATTAATCTGAATTTTAGGAAATAATAGCGCAATCGTGCAAACGTATCCTGATAATTGTTGAGTAAAATGTATTTCCAATTTCCAGAGAAAACATTTTATTGAAATAAATTTTGTTCCAATATTGGTTTTTACTAAAAATCATTTGCTTAATAAAATTTCCGAAATAAATATTTTATGGTAAATGATATTGAATATCATTTGAGCTAATGCTATAATTTTATAATTTTATTTTGACTCAATTTAATTAAATTAATTTAGTTAAAACACTTTAATGAAATTATGATATTTTAGTACACAATTAAAATATTATTTTAATTTTATCAATTAATATTTTGTTATAATTAATCTTTATTAATATATTATTTGCAAACCAATGCGATGTATCAATGAAGGATTTTATAAGCTTGATAAACTTCAAATATTTGTTTTCATCAGTTAATATTCATATAAAATATCTACTTTTTAAACGATGATTTTAATTATTCTCGAGATCTCATTCTTATTCTTTATTTGTTCAAAATATTTCGCAATATAATTTTTCTTTTGTCGTTTAAACGTCGTGATAATCCTGGTCTCACGCATGATCGAGAGACATTTAGGCGAAGCGTATAACATACTCGTTACGAAAGTAGAAGCTAATCATAATAAAGTCTATGTTTTCACCGCACATCTAGCGTAAACGTTGCCAGCTAATCCCGGAATGTAGCTTTCTTCAAAATATCACGTTACATGCGTTCAACGTAAATATAGATATCAATCGTGTAACAGTTAAGATTATATTACGGCAGAGTTGAAACATCACATTCGCGAATAGAATTTAACGTAGATGTATATAATGTACGCTACAATGCCGTAATATCGAAAAGTAATAGTGTCGCTGCGATATTTAATGTCACATTTCTGTCGATGTGAAAATGGGATTTCGGTGTTAAATGTGTGATGGAAACATGGTCATTATTATTTAAAAATGAGTCGCTCATTGATGTTCGACCTTCCAGTTCCCTCGAACGCTTGCAAAGTGTGCATTTCTTTAAATTCACCTGAGAAAATGTACGGTGAAAGATAAGGTAAGATATTTAAATAGATCTTTTTCAATGATAAACTATCTTTGAAAAATTGTGATCATTGAACTTTGCGAAAATGGACCAAAGATCCCATATACGAAAGGAAGTATCGTACATTTAACGTACTTCACGTGTGTACTTTAATTTTACACAGGGATTTCCGGTTAGTTTTGTTTCCGTTTTTTCGAAAAATTCACACGCGTCGCACGGTGCTAAAGTCCACGGAGTTGGGAACACCTAGAAAGGACTTAAGGAGTTTACTCTCTTGATCTTCCGGCGGGAACTTTCCGCGAGATAACGTGTTTCGTTTCGGTAAGGCGATATTTATGTCACTCCCCCTCCTGCTCACAGTCAAAGCGCCTCGAGTGAGTTCACGGAAGTTGGAATATCCTGGCGCGTTTCTCGGCCAAAATACCTCCTCGGAATTGTACTCGAGAGCCGCGAGGCGATCGCCATCGATCTCAGCCAGACAAAATGGAAATATCCTCCTAGCGACCGTTCCGCGGTGAGGCGAGGCAAGAATTGAGGTTGACTTATGTTCAAGATCCTCCATTTTCACGTCCGGAGTGTTAAAAGAGCATTCCGGCGTTTTGAATTTTTAAATTTGCCGATGTTACGATTTGCGAAACTCTTTAGTCCGATAATGCAAATTTATATGAATTTTTTTTTGTAAAGAATCGAACTCGAAAACGCAAAGGTGAGAAATTTAATTACTAAAGAAAAGTAAATTGCTATTTCTAAGAATGTAAAAGGATAGTTTATTGCATAGATTCAAGGGAACCGAGTATGTCGATGTTATTCTAAAAGAACGATCCGTAGCACAACCCAAAAAATTGCACAAACGACTGCGGAATTTTTCGAATAAAATAATTTTGTAGCATATAATTTTTAGATTTGCTACAAGGCGTCTCAAGCTTGTAATTCGTGTGTTATTAATAAATTCGCATAAAAGCAGCTGTTAGGCAACTCTCTTGGGTGTTATGCGGATCGCGAAAAATTCTGAACCACTTCGGCGTGTGACTTACGCAAAATTCTATGAGAGAGAAAAAAACGCATGAAGTAAAAGTGGGTTTTTTCGACAAATCAATGGGCGGCCGTTCTAGCTGTTTTGTACAATTCGTATTCTTTAACGCAGGTAAATTTAAGGTAGCAAGAAGCATCGATGTGTGCAGCCTGATTTTTCTGTTTCTCGAAAGCAATAGCATATCCGAATGATCGTTCATGTCATTGTAAGAATAAGAAAATCCGCGAAACGAAAGGTAAGGATAATTTCGAAAGTGTAAAAATTCCCGCAGAAATTTAATATCCTTGGAATCCGTCTAATTGTAATCATCTAATTGTAAGAATCTCAATTGTCTCGTTAATTTTTAAATATACGAAGATTTACAATTTTTGACTAATTTTACGACTCCGCATCCGAGAGTCTTTTTACAAGATTAACATTCTAAAACCTTAGAAGATTATTAAAATTTTAGTATCATAACTACATTGATTCAATTAAACAAAAAGTTTACTCCGGCAGTTAAGAGAAAACTTTCGGAGTCGCGAAAATTATCCCGAAACGAGGAAATCAGGCGTCTAAGAAGTTATCCTTAATACAAAGTTATGAAAGAATGTAAGAATGGAGGCCCCTTCATAGACTTTTATAACATATCGGAGTGTACAAACGCACTTTACCAGACTATATCAATATAAGGAACTACTAGTCATTACTCTTATCTATCTGTTGTATGATAAATAATTTCTATTACCAAACAATTATAACAATTATACTTTTTCTTTATCAACAGGTACTTTCAGCAGTTTCTATACCTTGGAGTATTTTGCGATTGTAAAATTTTCGACTCTTTCTCCTTTATAGCATTTTTTACCATTCTATTAATAATAATAATGCTAATGATAATGATAATAATAATGATAATAATAATACATCTACTTAGAGCAAAGTCTAAAATTTAGTTGCAACTTTTAACTGATTTTCGGGCTGAATGATTTTTGTCCGTTGTCTTCTCTTTATCAGCAATGCAATAATTATATATAACAAAGTATTTATTATAATTTCTTTCTACAGCACGGCTTGATAGCGTCGCAATCCAACACTCAGCAAGACAACTGACAATTGACAATAGTGAGATGTTTGCTTGGATTGCGAGTCTTTTCTTATAGATTTATATTTCTTTCCATATTGGATCGAATTGTCTCGCGAGACTCGTGAGTCACGCGTGAGTGTGTATATGCGGCGTAAAATGCCGGCGGTAAAGAAGAAGGCAATCCAATAGGCATCCATTTTGAAGATCGGCTAGAAATTGCAAATAAATCCCGACTCTGACGTAGAGTAAATAAGATGGCGATTTGTAAAGAATAATCACAATTCGGGGTCTTGTCACAGGGTAATGCTCGCATACCCGTTCAGTAGTTTCGGACGCTACAGGGCGGACCTGACGGGAAAAAAAAAAACCTTTAAACAATAATGACGATAATAATAATGATATTTTAACTACTGATAAATTTTTGTATCACAAATTTCGCTACTGTAGTCTGGTGTGTGTTATAAAAGTCTGTGATTCTCTTTTTCTGTATAAATACGAGTGTCTCTCATCGAGACTGTTGAGTGTTGTATAGGGTGGACGTACAATAATAAGATTTTGAAGTTAAGTAGACATATCAACGAAATCGTGTACCATTGATTGTGTCCACTTGTCACTTTTTCGGCGCTTTTTGCACTTCTCGAGCCGAGCCGGAAGCCTCTCATCGCTTTGCCATTTTCCTATACGCGTGAGTCCGTTTATGTATATAAATTATTTATTAATGACCGTCGTAACAATTGTTAACAATTAATTGTTTGTTATATACAAATTATTATATTGAAAATATTATTACTATAATATAGCGCCATAAATCGAGACTTTTAATTGAAATTAAATTAGATCGAAAATAATTGCAAATTGATTATTAGTTTCTACAATATTCAACTTTCACTCACTTATGTGCGTCAAATAATTTATGTAAATATATTCATATTTTTTTATAAACTACACGCTATATTTAGTGATGCTATATTTAATATTTTATATGTATCTAATTGCAATATCTAATATTTAGCATCGCGGGAAATGGCGGTCAGGATACTGATGGCAAATAACTGCATCCGTTTCGGATCGATGAAACGCAACTTGCGTAAACGCGCGCAAGTGACTATGATGAGTTATTAACATGATTATATTCTTAATGAATTAAGTTGAACATCGAGGATTACATTAAAGGATTTGTTCGCGCGAGAAATGCGTATTTTTCTAATGATTTAGAGTGAGTCGTTGCCAGGATGTAACGAAGTTCTTCCGCTTTACTTTCTTTAAGTTTATAGCGAATTTGTATATCAATGAGTTACCAAATAAACAAGAGAGCGGTTAGAACAACGAATGGTTTGTTATTCTTTTCTCTACTTTATAGTATATTATTTTATTATACAGAACATTATTTATGAATACTAAAGGTATATAAGATATGATAAGACGGAGATGATATCGATCGGAATAAATGAATAACGAAATACGTTTCAGATAATTATAAGAACTCACACACTAACAGCTGTTAATAAAATATCGAGTTGTTTGGATCGTTCCTGAATTGTAATTTTGATTTCTACACATACATTTTTCCTAACTGTGAATATGATGCAGAATACGGAAAACGACACAAGATAACTTTAGATAAAATCCGAAATTCGCCATGAAACTTGATATCAAATTATATTTATAATTACATGTGCTATTACATAATAGTACATTAAAATAAAACAAATTGAACTCACCGGCGCGATGCGCAGCAGCGGAGCTGTTCGCAAGATCTGTAACATACAAATTATAGCAGCAAATTTTTTTTTTACTTGAAACAATTATTACGTACATTAAACTTTTATTCGTCTCTGTTACGAAAATATGTAATGCAAGAATTATCTTTTACTGAAAGATTTTACTTAAAAGATTTTATTTAAAGTTTCTACGTTACACGTAATAATAACACGGAAACAATTGATTTTCAGACTTATGTTTATTTAACTCATTGTTTATTTGATGACTACTGTATTATACATGTATCCAAAGTTCGGACCATCAATTTTAACACATTCTGTATAACGGGCATCTAGAACACAGCGCGTG